AAGAAAAACCCCACACCTTTTGCTCTCAATATTTGAAATCCATCTTGTAAAGCAAAATCTTTTTGTTATCAACCTTTAGAGACTTATAAATGAAATGGCTAATGATTTTGAAACATGGGTTTGTTTATTAACTTCTAGAAACAGGACTATCTCTGTGGGAAGCAAAGAGTTGGGCGAAAGTGCTGTGCAGTCAAAGTTTTGTTCCTTCTCTGAGCTGGGCTGGGTTTCACCTCTTGGTCCACATTACAACCGTCCATGTGCAGAACTTCTGGAATCTCTTCCCTGGCTTGCACCTTACTATCCTTCAGATCCTCACGTAGACAGTCCTTCCTCTGCTGTGTTTTTCCTGATACTCCATGCACTAGATTAGAACTTTTTACATGGTACCATAATTTCCTGATGCCCTGAGATTGGAGATCTTTACACAGTACTATAATTCCCTGCTTATTCATTTCTCTCCCCTCATTATACTTTTAAGACTCACGAAGGCAAAAACCATATCAGCTCTGCATGATGGTATCGTCATTCCAGTGCCCAATAAATATTGGCTGAATAAATGAATGAAAAACATATTGCATTTTCATGCTTTTTTGGTGGCCATGGCACAAAACATTTATAGGCTCTGTTTATTAGAGACTTATCTTCACCTTCCTCTATAAAATCAAGATAAAAATACTAACTCTTTAAGGTACTTGTAAGATGGGGTGGGTCAGTCGTTCTTAACTGGGGGCATTTTGCCTCACCAGGGGACATACCTATGGCAATGTCTGGAGACATCTTTGTATGTACACAGCAGCTCCACAAGAAAAGAATTATCTGGCTCAAAATCTGAATACTGCTGATGTTGAGAAATCCTGGAGGAGGTGTCAGTACAGAGAACTTGGTTAGTCAAAGGTGATTTTATTTTACTCTACATTTTGGAGTTCACCTTTTTGGATATCATTAATAATAACAAGTACACAGAGAATAAAAGTTTTATTTATTATGTTTTTGCCATGTGTCAGGCACCATATAACTTTTCACAAATATTATCCTATTATCCTATTTAATCTCAACAGTGCTGTTGAGTTAGGAACTATTTTATCCCCATTTTTCAGATAGGGAGACTAAGACTTAAAAGGTTAACTGGGCTTCCCTGGTGGCGCAGTGGTTGAGAGTCCGCCTGCCGATGCAGAGGACACGGGTTCGTGCCCCGGTCGGTCCGGGAGGATCCCACATGCTGCAGAGCGGCTGGGCCCGTGAGCCATGGCCACTGAGCCTGCGCGTCCGGAGTCTGTGCTCCGCAACGGGAGAGGCCACAACAGTGAGAGGCCCGCGTACCGCAAAAAAAAAAAAAAAAAAGGTTAACTAATTTATCTAGCTCCTAAGTGCCAGAGGTGGGATGAGAACTCAGAGGCTATGCTTTTGATCATTATACTATACTGCTTTCTCTATAAATACAGTCTCCATTTTAAGGTCTAAAAGGATTTCTCCCCCTAGTGGGAGAAATATGGAGATTTTAGCCTTACTTAAGTTTAAAAAAAATCATTATTGCCTAGGTGGTTGCAGTTTTACACTTGCACTAATTTGAACAAAGATACAGTCTACTGGCTGATATAATATGTAGGCAATTGTTGATCCAGGAATTAGGACAAGTCTATTATGCACAGTTATTTTATGGAATTCCCAAGAAGCACAAAGAAAACCTTGAGAGTTTGTTTTCTTTCAACACTGAACTTGCCATAGCTGATCAACACAGCGCGATCTAGATGGGACTTTTCTCCTATTGAGGTGGATAAACAGTGACGGTTTGCCCCATGTAATCCCATTAGGAGCTTTCTTCAGGACCACATCCTCTTCTTATGTAATTATAGGAGAACCACTCATGAGTAAAGTCCACCTGCCAAGAGAGCAAGGCCTGGGGCAAAGGGTTGGCTGATAGGGCTTTTTCTCTCCTTACAGAGGACACAGTTGAAGCAAGTGGAAGAGTTGCAATTTGTATGCACAGTGATGGTCTCCAGTGATCCCTGAGTACTTTGTTAGCTCCGCAATCATTATTGCCTTGAGTCTCTTCACTGATGAAGTTTCTAAACAAATTCTACCATCTTCAAACACTGGTTTGTTGTTTCTAGGGCCTTAAAACTTGGCTTGTAAATGCCAAGTTGAGAAGCATCTATTCTTTTTACATAGGAATTTAAAGACCCTGGGGCAGCTGTGTTTTCTCCCTTGGAAAATTCTGTTCATTGTGTGCTACTATCACACTTTGAAGATTCCCATGGAATACTCAAAAATGTGTTAGATTCGATTCTTTTGGTCTCACTTTCCTACCTTTTTTGAAGAGTAAATGCTAATAGCACCAAACAGATTTTTGTTCTTAAATAAATCATGCTTTATGAAAGTAGGCCCCCTCTGATTACAAATAGCTCTTTAAGGTCCTCCTGGATATTAGTGCTTGTCATTCAGACATACATTTTCAAGGGTCTGTTGAAGCCAAGTGATATATTTAGTCATTGCATTACTCTACCTGTAAGATGTCATTTACATATAAGATGCAATTTGAGACCATCTCCTGGGGACGAAAGTGATTAGTATGCCTTATGCTTTTACTCTTCTCAAATGAATCATTTGACATGCTCTTGCATGTATTTTACACTTCATAAATTAAAACATTTGAAAACTTAAATAAGACGGCACTGTGTTGAGGGCAGTGTTTCTCTAATTTTAACGTGTATGCCCCAGGCTCTTGCTAATGTGCAGATTCTGTTTCCAGCAACTTCACAGGTTCGTGCTGCTGGACCAGGGATCACACTTGAGTAGCAGGCTATTAGGGAACATTGAGATGGTTTGAGAATTTGAAACCTGAACTAGGGATGGCATCAAGCTGATGGCATTACATTCGCTTTTCCTGAACTACGCTTAGTTGTATTATAAATTATCCTTTAAGCGTATAGGGAGATTTTGGGCAGAGAGGATGACTCCTGTTCCATGTGATAAAACATATATTTGTAATTTTTAACAACTTAAATAATGCTTAATTTTTAATAAAGTATCACATCCATCTGTTTTGCCTGGAAAGATACTCCCTATACCCCCTCCCTTTTTTTTTTTTAAGTTTTCTGAACAATAGAAAAATGAATATTACCGTTTCTGGTCATCAAAGGCATTTTTTAGATGGCTCACAATATTTCAAATTGTAGAACAAATTTACAAGAGTCTGGACACTTAAATAGTAGTTACAATGTTTTTTTTTTTTTTTTCTTTTTCTTTTTTAATTACCTTTCTAAAGATAGCTAAGGGAACAATTTCAAATAGTTCCTCTGTGCTTTACATATAAGTTGTTTCAATTGTTGTGTATTGGTAAGAATTAAGAGACTTCCGGCTTGCCATGTCCTGTCACGTTAGCTTCTTTTGTAGGGAAATCAAATCTGGCACCTTTCAATTAACTTCTTTATTTCTCTAACCTAAAAATAGACGGAACAGTTGTGGAGCAAGAAGGTCTGATTACTATCTGTATATTGCCTTTACTTCCCCAACTGTGTCTTCTAACATTTCAAAGTTTACTGAAAGTCTTTTCCTAAAAGCAGGAAAACACATACAGATGGGAGGAAGGTTGAGTTGCTGGAAAATAATTTTATTCGCAGTCATGAGCTTGTCAGCTCTCAAAGGAATCGCAATGGTGTATCTCATCTGAACCTGAAGGTCTCAAAAGAGGGGATAAGTGGAAATGTGTCATGGTTAACTCAAGTGGGGGCTATTTGGGAGGCAGAGAGAGATGAGAGGAGGGGGGGAGTGGGGAAGAAAAGAGCAGTCTTCTCTCTGACTTGACATCACCTCTGTTTCTGTGCGTCACCTTTAAACTGCTTCATCACAGTGTCAGATCAGAAGGACGCATCTTTCTAAATAACTTTATCAGTCCCCATTTTGCATCTGTTTATAACTGGAAAGGGTTTCACAATTTTTTTCCCCTTAAATTGTATTCGTTGCTCAGTCACTCATTTCATCTTGAAATATGACTGTGACCAGTTGCATTTGTAGATGGCCATCATTGATTCAATGGATTCAGCCCTGGGCCTCTTGTGCCTGTCTGTTTGGATATGCAAATAGATCTCTGAGAGAAGATACTGACTGTGCTGTGAAATTCACAATATGATCATTGATAGTGAGAGGTAACAGTATGGTCTCCGTTTGATGATAAAGATAATTGAATCGTTTTCATTTCTTGAATACCTTTTCAACTGAATTATTATTATTTAGCATGTCACTTAATGCCAACTCCCTGAGCATTTAGTCCCAATAACAGTGATGTTTTTGTTTTTGTTTTGTTTTTTAACATCTTTGTTGGAGTATAATTGCTTTACAATGTTGTATTAGTTTCTGCTGTATAAGAAAGTGAATCAGCTATATGTATACATATATCCCCATATCCCCTCTCTCTTGAGTCTCCCTCCCACCCTCCTTATCCCACCCCTCTAGGTGGTCACAAAGCACTGAGCTGATCTCCCTGTGCTATGCGGCTGCTTCCCACTAGCTATCTATTTTACATTCGGTAGTGTATATATGTCCATGCCTCTCTCTCCCTTCCTCCCAGCTTACCCTTCCCCATCTCTGTGTCCTCAAGTCCATTCTCTAGGTCTGCGTCTTTATTCCTGTCCTGCATCTAGGTTCTTCAGAACCATTTTTTTTTTTTTAGATTCCATATATATGTGTTAGCATAAGGTATTTGTTTTTCTCTTTCTGACCTACTTCACTCTGTATGACAGACTCTAGGTCTATCCACCTCACTACAAATAACTCAGTTTTGTTTCTTTTTATGGCTGAGTAATATTCCATTGTATATATGTGCCACATCTTCTTTATCCATTCATCTGACAATGGACACTTAGGTTGCTTCCATGTCCTGGCTATTGTAAATAGTGCTGCAATGAACATTGAATCACAGCATTCTTGAAAAGCCACAGTCAGATCAGCACTTAATCCACTCACTACCCTTAACTGACTCTTTTCTCTCTACTTTCCTACAGCAGATTGCAGACTGAACTTAACCAAGTTCATAGGCTGATCCACACTGACCTGACCGACCACAGAAGAAGGGGTTCTGCCTACCTAACTGGGCCCCTTTTGACCGCTGATAACTTGGCTTCACTTGTTGCCTGGGTGGAAAGTTCTCCCTATTGAAATTTTTTTGCACATGGAGGACAATAGCAAAGAGGGCAACATAGGCTGATAAGACCAGAGACCACAGGAAGATTCTTTGACCTTGGCCTTCGGGACTTTTCCTCTAGCTGGAGTTCTGGACTTTAACAGAACTGCGTTCAATCATTTTGGTTTTGCTACCTGTTTTTTTTTTTTTCTTTTTCTTTTTCTTTTCACTACCACATCGTATTTTATTTCTGTACTTCAGAAATGGGCCTACAGACTACACAGGGGCCCAGCCAGGGGGCTTTTTTCCTGAAATCTTGGCTTCTCATTTCCCTGGGGCTCTACTCACAAGTGTCAAAACTCCTGGCGTGCCCTAGCGTGTGTCGCTGCGACAGGAACTTTGTCTACTGTAACGAGCGAAGCTTGACCTCAGTGCCTCTTGGGATCCCGGAGGGCGTCACTGTACTCTACCTCCACAACAACCAAATTAATAATGCTGGGTTTCCTGCAGAGCTGCACAACGTACAGTCTGTGCACACCGTGTACCTTTATGGGAACCAACTGGATGAATTCCCCATGAACCTTCCCAAGAACGTCCGAGTTCTCCATCTGCAGGAAAACAATATTCAGACCATTTCACGGGCCGCCCTGGCCCAGCTCTTGAAGCTTGAAGAGCTCCACCTGGATGACAACTCAATATCCACGGTGGGGGTGGAAGATGGGGCCTTCCGGGAGGCCATTAGCCTCAAATTGTTGTTTCTATCCAAGAATCACCTGAGCAGCGTGCCTGTGGGGCTTCCCGTGGACCTGCAAGAGCTGAGAGTGGATGAGAATCGAATTGCCGTCATATCAGACATGGCCTTTCAGAACCTCACCAGCTTGGAGCGTCTGATCGTGGATGGAAACCTCCTGACCAACAAGGGCATTGCCGAGGGCACCTTCAGCCACCTCGCCAAGCTCAAGGAATTTTCCATTGTCCGGAATTCGCTCTCCCATCCCCCTTCTGACCTCCCAGGTACGCACCTGATGAGGCTCTATCTGCAGGACAACCAGATCAACCACATCCCTTTGACAGCCTTCTCGAATCTCCGGAAGCTGGAACGGCTGGATATATCCAACAACCAGCTGCGCGTGTTGACTCAAGGGGTCTTCGATAACCTCTCCAACCTGAAGCAGCTCACTGCTCGGAATAATCCTTGGTTCTGTGACTGCAGTATTAAATGGGTCACGGAATGGCTCAAACACATACCCTCATCTCTGAATGTGCGAGGTTTCATGTGCCAAGGTCCTGAACAAGTCCGGGGGATGGCAGTCCGGGAGTTGAATATGAATCTGTTGTCCTGTCCCACCACGACCCCCGGCCTGCCTCTCTTCACTCCAGCCCCAAGTTCAGCTTCGCCCACGACTCAGCCTCCCACACTCTCTGTCCCGACCCCTAGCAGAAGCTATGCGCCTCTAACTCCCATGGCATCGAAACTCCCCACGATTCCCGACTGGGATGGCAGAGAAAGAGTGACCCCGCCTCTTTCTGAACGGATCCAGCTCTCTATCCATTTTGTGAATGACACTTCCATTCAAGTCAGCTGGCTCTCTCTCTTTACTGTGATGGCGTACAAACTCACGTGGGTGAAAATGGGCCACAGTTTAGTGGGGGGCATCGTTCAGGAACGCATTGTCAGTGGTGAGAAGCAGCATCTGAGCCTGGTCAATTTAGAGCCCAGATCCACTTATCGGATTTGTTTAGTGCCGCTGGATGCATTTAACTACCGAGCTGTAGAAGACACCATTTGTTCTGAGGCCACCACCCATGCCTCCTATGTGAACAACGGCAGCAACACGGCTTCCAGCCATGAGCAGACGACTTCCCACAGCATGGGCTCCCCTTTTCTGCTGGCGGGGCTGATCGGGGGTGCGGTGATATTTGTGCTTGTGGTCCTGCTCGGTGTCTTTTGCTGGCATATGCACAAAAAGGGGCGCTACACCTCCCAGAAGTGGAAATACAACCGAGGCCGGCGGAAAGATGACTATTGCGAGGCAGGCACCAAAAAGGACAATTCCATCCTGGAGATGACAGAAACCAGCTTTCAGATCGTCTCCTTAAATAACGATCAGCTCCTTAAAGGAGATTTCAGACTGCAGCCCATTTACACCCCAAATGGGGGCATTAATTACACAGACTGCCATATCCCCAACAACATGCGATACTGCAACAGCAGTGTGCCAGACTTGGAGCACTGCCATACGTGACAGCTAGAGGTCCAGCATTACAAACGCGGACAGTAAGACTCTCGAGAACACACTCGTGTGTGCACATAAAGACACGCGAATTACATTTGATAAATGTTACACAGATGCATTTGTGCATTTGAATACTCTGTAATTTATACGGTGTACTATATAATGGGATTTAAAAAAAGTGCTATCTTTTCTATTCCAAGTTAATTACAAACAGTTTTGTAACTCTTTGCTTTTTAAAATCTTAAAAAAAAAAAAATAGTTGCTGAAGTACTGTACAGGGTTGTACAATGAGAACCCAATACTAAGGTAAAAGAATGAGTGATTCTTCCTCCTGATGCAATTCACCACTTTGCTGTTGAAGCTTCAGAACAAATTCCTTTCCTAGAGTTGGTGGTCAGATGAAAGGGCAGGTTAAAATGGACTCATCAGTGTAGGATAAATAATAGGCATAAAACCAGAAATGACCCCAGATATCTTCACGCTATTTGTATATTTCCTGGTCTGGAAGAAAAGTGAAAACTTCTAGAGTATAAGAAAGGAGGTAGTCACCCTGATTTGACCCAAAGGAGGAAATGCAGAAAACATCTCTTGAGGAAGTCAGTTCCTGTGAGATAAGTTAACCCATCCTGGCAGAATCAAGAAAATGAGATAAGATTTGAAAAGACAGTCAAACCCAGGGGTTGGCTTTCTGACTGGGAACTTGAAAATCACTCTTCAGGCTTCCCTGGCCCTATGTGAAACAGTGAGAGACCTGAGTCTGTTTTCAGTCATCTTCGGGGGCAGGTAGGATGTCCCAGCAAGAAAACTCCCTTTAAAAGTGTTACTGTTCAAGTCATATGTCAGGTTGAATCACATTCATCAGAGATATATTCTAGAATACTTTTTTTAGAAGAGGCTAATAAAATAATGGGAAGAATTATATTGAATGGAATTATTTTTGATAATGAGAACTATTTGGGTAGATTCACTGCAGCTATGTCAACATGATATTTAGACCAACAAGGGATCAATGTTTGGAATATACTAAACTTGTTATGTAAAAATTATTGATACCATTTAGACAAAAGCAAGTGATCAGTGGTTCTGTTATACTATATCAACTAACTTTGTTAGTATCATGTTGAAATAGCTTGAATTAATACCTTTATCCCCTTGGAAATTCTTGTCTTCCAATCACCTCACGTATATTTTCGTAATTAGCTGTAGAGGCAACATTTGTCATTCCCCCTCTCTTCAAAATTCAAAAGAACATCATGGATGCCAGTCTTGGTTGCACAAAATATCCATATACACTTTAAAATGTATACTAATTCTCCTTGCTAATAATTCTGTAAGGACACATCAAAGCTGGCAAAATAACGTATTTGTTTAAAAAGCAATACCAAGTTTCCACCTTGAACTGACTTTGACCTTCCATTTTTTAAATTTCATTTATTCCTTTCAGTCATGGATGTTCCTCTTCTTTGGGAATTGTGGAGGGATAATCAATCTTATATTAACAGCGTAACAGATGAAAAAAAATGATCAAGTCTGAGAGGGAAGACTTGTTCTCCTAATCTTGGCAAAGCAGGGCATAGGACAGAGGGCATGGAGAAGAGAAGGATGTCCAGACTTAATTCTAGATATTTTTTGAAGCAACGTCCATCTTCAGAAAGCATGTATAATGTACTCCTTTCCATCCCTTAGTTGTAGAAGGGCTATCGATCACACACATACATTATCTAAAAAATACACCCTTGGAAAATTATTTTCAAAATCAAATTTAGGCATTTCAGTCTGTGTTGCATGTTTCCTTGATCACCAGCCATTATTTTAGGAACCTATGAAGTTAATGTCACAATCATTTTGCTTTCTCTTTCTCTGTCCCTCTTACTTTTAACAAAATAGAACTGTGATGTGTCTACTTTGTAAGAGTTTAGGTATAAAATGCTATGCAAGTTTTTCTTTATAGTAAGAGCTTTATTTTCTTTAATAATATATCCCCAACTCATATGTTTTAATCTCCCTTGTCCCTCAGAATAAGCAGAAAATATAACTGAAGTTATGTTATAGACACAAGAATCAAAACTGTGCAGTCAGTTGAGCTGAAATTAACTACTAATTAATTTGAATTAATTCTAAAGTGACTTCGGTTTTCATTTTAGTTTATTAGCTAGCTAGTTTTGTCTGTTGCTTTTTTAAAGCTTGATCCACACAGTGAAGGGTTAAGACAATCTGTGAAAGTGATCAGTGTAGCAGTAAGCCATCTGAAATGCAGGACCATGACATGGGGTTTTGTGTATTTAACTGGATAATTCCCTCCCACTGTCCCTTTCTCCTTGGCTGTGTAGATAAAACTATGTGTTCAAATGATGGTACTTTGATTTTTGAGGGTTTTTTTTTTCCTTTTATCCACAAAATAATCATTCTCATTTATTTGTATTGTGTGTATAACCTCCAGCTGGATACTTCGCTGCTGAAACAAATGTTTTTGCTTTGAGCCAGGAAGACCAAGATTAGAGAGGTTTCTATAATGTCTTATGGGATTCACAGAATTATTTGGGGCTTAAGTCCTATGACAGAGACCTGGTCATGTGAAGTGATTAGGATGATCTGAAATGGTTCCTTTGCTAGAAGACCTTTCTGAAGAGATAGAATCTAGTTATAGACTTAATTCTGAGCTTGTGCACAACATGACAGAGACTGTTAAAATTGAGATCAGTCTCCTATTTGAAATAGTGTACCTGGGGCTCTCACCTACACCAGGATAGAAAGCACATCATGGAATCTGTAACAACCATCAGTGGTGGATGATGCTTTGAATGGTGTTTTTGTTATGGGAATGTTTTCCTGATACATCAACTCTGTATTTTGGACCTCTCTTGAGCTCATACATTATTTTGCATTTTGAGATTAGTCAAGAGTCACAGTTCAAGGTGCAGGACAAGACCATGAGCAAAGCCATACGTACCGGCTTTTAAAGAGCTCGATGCTGTCTGACCAAATCAAATGATTTCAGATACTATGTGTCCACTTTCAGAGCTAGGTAACTGTCACTGTGCAGAAGAAATTCCAAAAGGAAAAGTCATAGCCATGAGCACACAGGTATTACTGACCATTATTCATACCCAGCATTGTCATGAATACCTACTTGTTTGGGGAGATGTATTTGAATAGGGAGAAGCCCTTAGCTTCCCTCAAACTGTCAAATGCATTAACAACTTTTCGCATGGGACAATCAAAAGCAGAGACACAAAGGATGTCCTCCTGCCTATTTTTCTGATGCGAGAAGTGGAAAACATTCTACCCTGTGAGAAATCATGCAATTTCTAGTTATCTGGATGTTTGTTGAAAATATGTTACATGTTTTCCCAGAGGTTTAAAAAAAAGTATAATGTGACCAGTCTGGTAAAAAGGATGAATGAAATAGCTGATGTTATGGCTCCATTTCCTACTAGATCATAATAGTCCTAGTCATTCCACAGGAGTTAGAACTTCCTTCCTCACTGAGGAGAACAAGCTCTCCATGTTGTGGACAGAGCATCCATTCCAGACACAAGACAATATAGTTGCTGTCCACAGGGAGGACAGGAGATAGCTTGGTCAGCTAACCTCACTTGCAGAATCCATTACAACTTGCAACAATGCAGTGATCAATTTCCATTACTTCTTAGCTTCTAGCATTTTTCTCTACCCTATAACAAGGAGACATTGTTTCACTTTGGAATATGAGAGTAATAGTTTTGCTCATGACTTACCTTTCCAACTTCATGGGAAAGCAGAACAGAAAATGGAGCCCCAAAGAGAAAGAGATAAATACATAAAACAAACCAAAAAACTCCTCTTCATTATTAGTTTTGTCCAACCTTGCCTGATGCTTTTTTTTTTAAGTCAAAATACTAATGTAGGAAGCAGTAGTTTACACCTCTCTCTAATTTCTTCAGTGGGGTCGAAAGACAATTGCTGACAATGGGGGGATGCTTGTCCCTGATTGTGGGGAGAAAGTTTTGTACATGTTGTTATAACATGTACTGTTACACTGTTATTCTGGGGATACTGTTACAACAAAAAAAAAATCACATTCCTTTTGCTATAGTTTAAGTTTTTTTTTTTTCCTAGCAGCACACCCACCAGAAGAGCACAAAGCAAGGCCATCACAACAGACATTTTTTAACTAGTGTAAAACACACACTTGTGTACACACACACACCACACACAGGGGTATTCGTAAAGACATCCATGAGGTGTAAGATTTATAACCTTTCTGAGGCAAGGTGAAGGCGTCGCCACTGTGTGTCCCTCTTGGGAACAGTATATATTCGCTGAAAGTTAATCCTGATGATTTGTTATTGTTTGAGCCGTATGTTGATTTGCTTCTGGTTTCTGTGTAGTGTGTTCTCACTGACAAGGGACTGCAAGGGGCTGGAAGATTCTGCATCACACATCCCCTGAGACCTACTGTGTCGCACACTTTGTTAACTACAAACTTCACTCTACACTATACAGTACCTTGTTGATATACTCAGTAAAGGCTTATTTTAAAAAGAAACCACATTGTGTTTATCTGAGTAAGTTCATTGGGATACTGCCCATCCTTGCTTGGTTCATGTCAAAGACAAATGAGGGACACTTCCTGATGGAGGACCATGGATGGGATGAAGGAGGTAGTAGGGTTTTCATTTTCTCTTACCTTGAAGACAACTTCTGTGTTTTAAGGCCATTTGACTCTTTTTGTGTGAGGGGTTTATATGAAATCTTCACGTTCTTTTCTATTTCCTGACTAAGTTGTGTGTTCCTATGAATATCTTTTGAATATACACACATACATGGAGCATATTATTTTGTGTTTGTGAAATCTGTGTTGTTTAGAATATAGATAAATGCCAATGTAGTTATCTCATCAGAATAGTCTTTTGCCCTATTTCATAATATACACTGTCCATTTTAAATGTCACTTTTCCTTAAGAATCCTCATGGTACTTTCTACTTCAGAATTGTTTATAGAGCTCATCCATCCATACTTTCAATAAGCACTCATGAAAATGTATGTATTCATATGCTCAAGTTCAATTCGGGATTATCTCCTGATTTTCCAGAAGCCCTTTCTCTAACCCCTCTTGGCCGTTTTACTAATAGTGTATTTGACAGAGACTGAATCAGGAAATAAAATGATGTCACTCAGTTACTACTATTAATGACTTGCAGAACCTCTGTTGGAGAATTAACTATGAAAGATGGTTGTAACAGGTGATTCATATTACATTTGGGAGATTTTGTGCAAAATAATGTCTATGTGTTCTTGGTTACTTTTGCCAAGAGTTACAGACTCTACTCTGTGGAGACCAGACTCTTAGTCAAGGAATACCTTTCATTCAAAAGAGTTTATGAAACAACTTTTACTATGTCCCAGGCACTGGTCTGAGTTCAGAGGTTTCATAGAAGAATGAAATACAGTCTTAGCCAAACCAAGTGTATTTCCTACTCCACCGTGTTCCTAAAACGTTTATTCATCCAATATATTTACTTTTCATCTACTTTTTACAGAGTACTTTATTAGGTTCTACTGGGGATTCAGAGAAAAATATGACTCTGCTGCTAGGAAGCCCACAGATCGTGTAATAAACTTGTTTTCTAACATATTCCAGTGTCTCAGAGCCCATGTGATAACTTTACATCCTCTCATTAAACTCAACGAAATATCTAAGATAACAAAAGAGACATATATACCTGTTGGTAAGTTTGATAATGCATCAAATTTGTATATTAGATATCTAGAGAGAAAGAGGTTAGAGGATCTTGGTGTTTAATAGATGAAACTAAGAGTGCTTTGATAAGATCAGAATTCAATTGAATTAAGTTTTCAAATTTACATCCAGTAATTGAAAATTTTGGAATTGTATTTGGTAATTACAAAGGCAACCTCTTAAATTCCCATTGAGCCCAGAATGGAAATCAATCAAAAATAATAATCATAATAATGGTACCTGGCTCCACGGACTCTTCTTGTTTTCTTGCCTCTTAATCAATTGACTAGCCTTAAGACTGACTAGCCTTCAGGACAAATTCTTAGTGTTTAAGATTTTCAGTGATGGAGTTACCACAACTTCACCCAGTGGATTCATCCATTGATTGTTTGTGACCAATCAAGGGAATATTCTTACAAACCTCAAAATATCTATGTCTTTGAACTCCTTTGGTCATCCATTCCTATAATTTTAATTTTTATATTCTGATTTTGTGATCATTTGATACCTGTACATTAATTTGATTTGAAAACTTCAGATGGAATCAAGCAAGCTCTATGTATATCCATGGGGTGAGCTGAGAGAACTATTAAAAAAACGAGTCAGGTTATTTTTAGTAATGAATTTGTTTCATACTTAAGAGGTTGCTCTAAATATTTTGTAAATCCTGCTGAAGATGCTCACAGATAAGAATCTATTAGGGTGTTAGCAAACTGGCTTCTGCATTTATACCTTTATTTCATAGCACAAATATAGAATGTGTGCTTTAGAGGATATTATACAAGCTTTATCTCATTAGTTATACAGAAAGTTAAGGATAAAGAATTTTTACTGTTAAACTCCAAACTGGATGTCACTGTAGGACACACACCAACTGATGATCCCGTCTGTCCAGGTTCTTGGTATGAAGTCTAAAGTAGATGAACATTTCAATGTACCCTTAGGGGGATTCTTATCATTTGACATAATAAACCTCCATAATGGGTCCATCTTTTTCTAATCAAATATAAAAATGTGATGGATCAGAGGGTCTGTTAAACTCCCTGGTTTGGGTAATTAAGTTTTGTTTTCATTCAGCAAATATTCGCTAAGGCCTGGTAAGTTTTGGCGCTGAGTGAGACAGTTTTCCAGGAGACTTAACTTTGCATCATCAAAAATCTTTCCTGGAAGCTACTGGTATTCAACTCACAGCCTAGGCCATTCCCCACACTCTTTGACTTCTTGGAGCGCTCACGCACCTATATTTAAATAATCAGCTAACAGTACTAGTTCTGGCACTTACACACGCTCTCAAATGTGTTTTCTTCTCTGAGCTTCCTAACTCTGACATGGTTAAGACCCTTCCTTCAGTCTGTTCCCACTTCAGCCTCGTGTACACATTGCAGGACAAAGGATAATCTATAAAAAATGCTTGTTGTGACACTATCTCAATTTCAAACTATTCCATTACCATTACTTTAAGAGAGAAGTCAAACTCCTTGTGTGACATACGCGTCCTACTACCCATTGCTGCCTGGTATTCCTTACCAGTATTTCCTCCTCATTCATTATGTGCTCTAGGTTAGATATATATCTTAAATTAAAAAATGAATGAAAATCTTTCAGTCTATCTCTAAGAGATCTCAAGTTCCTTGTCTGGTTGACTATTCAAGATACAATTCAAATATACACCCACCCCCCAACACTTGGAAAGCTTGAATCATACCTGTCAATGATCTGACCTCTCTGTGCAGTTAATCTAACTTTAAAATACTTTGATTTGTGGCACCCATGCATTGTAAATTTTCATGGGTCTGTTTCATGACTATAATCCAGGAGAGACAGAGCACATATTCTGTCAATTGTATCTCATCCAGTGTTGAGTATGGTGTCCAGCCCCTGGCAGCTGCCCTGTATGTGCTTTTGGAGAAAGTGTGATTGGAGCACAGGGGGCCCCATGGTGACATCAGGCTCCTTGTGGGATCAGCTCTCCACACACAGCATCCCTCAAATAACAGCTACCCTGTCAATCTCCTGTGGCTGGATAATTTCTTTTCAAACCTCAGAAAGAGCTATAGAATTGTGAATCATGCACAATAAGCTTTGCTCGAAGCAAATCATATATTTTCTTTAACATCTCTTGGTTACCCATTGCTATATTTTACAGAAATTTTGTTTTTATGATTATATGATAGCCACACATTTATCTGATTTGGGAGCTTGAGATGGACTCAGGATATGTTTACACCCACAGGGAAGGCTAAGAGAACTGTTAAAATGATTTGAAGAATATCCTTTTTTTCTATTTACACACAACCTCAAAACTGAGCCAGCTTGCAAAAGGCATATACAGAGCTATCTTAAAAAATCATCTTGCAACAAAATGTCACCATCATGAAAAGTATGCAAAGTATGGGGAGACACAAAGTCAAATTGAGGAAAACATTTTGACCGTTTGCTAGTCAAAATGAATTCTTCACATGTAAAAAGCAGAGGTAGATTTGTTTTTGTTGTTTCCATCAGCAGTATCAAAAGGGACAGTCATTATTCACTGTGTCATACCCTATATCAAAAATACGGCATATATCTCTTAAACGTTCACATTGTATTATCTTGGTTTTTACCATGAAAATAAATAGTCTCTCCTAGAAATAATATTCCCATAAAGAAGGATGCAGTAGAGAGTAGTGGTTATTGAAATTTGAATGAGGCTGACTTATTTTGGAAATCTGCCTTTGCCATTGACCAGCCAATTGGCCTTGTTAATAACTTACACTTTAGGGTCATCGGTTTCTTTTACCTTAAATGGAGACAGTGAAGACTAACACATATGATCGCTGTCAGAACTGAAAGCAGGTATAGAAGTTAACACATTATCTGAGGCTGAATAAATGACATCAAGCACCATGTATGTTTCAGGCAAACCCAATTCACAAGCACGGGGTGACGTATCGCCAACTTTATATGACGAAACCAAGCTTCTTGAGCATTAGGATCAGAATTATATGCAGGAATCATTTATGTAAATGTAGTTAGCATCCAAAATTCCACATCACTGTGTACAACCATTTTCAACACAACTTTGACAGGGAGCTTTTCATTTTCCCTATTTTTTTTTTTCTGGAACAGTTGGGGAAAGTGAGATCCCACAGGGTAACACAAAACAATACCAGGTCCTTTGTCTCATGGTGAGCGGGATCCATTGAACAGCACAGTTGAATGGAGAGAGAATAGACTTCTTTGTAGTGTAGTTATTTCTTCTCTGATCTGCAGAGGACATGTAGGCATGGTTATTGCTGAAAATTAAATCAGGAAATGTTTCAAATGGGTGAGTATCAGAGTGAGTGTTCAGAAGACACTGGGCAATTGAAACATTAAAAAGATCAAGGTATTAACTTTCTGTAAGATCTGTAATGTTAAATGACGTAGTTTTATTTCATTCTACTATACCACAAGCCGTGGCATCTACATCCACACTTGATTGATAGTGGGGAAGGTAGCAACCAAATGGAAGAGTTTTTTAATGGCTCTGCAATGCAGATGTGATAGTCTACCAGCTGTCACATAGTTCCTTTTTGCAATCAATACCATTCTTGATTTCATAATCTAGCTGTAATTAAGAAACATGTATCCTCTTCAGCTGGGTTGTGGGTTTTTTTTTCCTTCTGTACACTTTCTATTCATGGTAGTTAAAATAGTCTCAAAGCAGCTCACTCACTGGGGTCTATATTAGCATTATTTTCCTTTTAATCCTGCGTTTCCTTGATCAATAAATACAGAAGATCAGATATCCGGACGCTAAGGGAAGAAAATACTTTATATTCCA